TAAACCATCCGGATCTTCAGAAGACTTTGAAACATCCATGTAAGTGATTAAGTGACGTTTTCCTTCCTAAGTTCTCTACTTTAATAGGGATCTGAATCTATTTCAAGACTTTACAATCGCTTTTCCGTTTGTTACCAGGCTGTATTCTTTTTTTCTCAATGATTTTAGTTTATTGGAAAACAAAACTAAGACGATAAAAAAAAAAAACACGGGAATTCCACAGCTTTGATTAAAATACTTAAATCTGCAATATCAACAGATACATACATTGTGAAGTTTGAACTACAAATGATATTTCAAGTTCTTGTATTTTTTAGAGTTTGACTTGTCAGTTATTCATCATCGATGTTTTAACTATCAAGTGAGCAGATCACGATTGATTTGAGTTTCCTTAAATATTAATGAAGAAGAGGTGCAACTTTTCTAGACCAACTGGGCAAAGATAAAACGCAAGAAAATAAGACCAAGGCAGTCCTGGATCCTGCACTAAAGATTGATCGATACTTTATTTACATCGCTCCCTTACTTGCTTTGGAACTTAAACATCAGTTTAAGTTCCTTTTTAAAAAAAAATCCGATTCAGCTGTCGCTGTAAATAAATGAATGACTTCTTTATTAATATCTATATTTAATCGCTCCGTAGTTAGAGGATTTCAGAGCATCATCACACAAGCGGTTATAACATTTTCATTTCTGTTGTAGTTTCCCAAGCATGGATTTGAAGTTTCAACTGTGCGTGTTGGTACTTATTTTGGGAATCACAGTGGACGCTTACCGTTTCAGTCCCAGAAGTAAAGGTAAGTTGACGAGAAAAAGCTGTTGGCCAGCACTTTTCGGTACTAAGTTAGTCGGCTTCGACAAGCAAATTGAATCGAGAAGTTTATTTAAAATATTCAAGCCATACTTTTAAGCCTTTAAGGCGAAAAAGGCTAACTTATCTGAGTGGATATATACATTATCACATCAATTAAATAGCAATAATTACCAGGCTTAGGGAAATTTCCTGAAGGATACTCACGCTCGGTTTAAAATTTCCTCTCCCAGCATCTAAAGTGACTGAAATGAAGTAGATATCCACTGCTAGACGTAGAGGCTTAATCAAGCCTGGGTCTCGGGTTTCTCTTACTCACGAATTTACCAAATCACTTAAGTTGCAGCTGATAAACGAACTGAAAGCTGTGACTGGCCTTACGGATATTGTGTTTACATTCATGATCCATGTCCACCAGACGCACCGATTGCATGTGCTAATGGCTGTCGATCTCCCACAAACAAATGTTGCTGCCGGTAAGATGTTCAGCACAATAATGTTTCTAAATTTTCTTAATATCCTAGCAAAATTTTTCCTATTAAACCGGCCGGTGTTCTTCATATCAAAACTGCCTTTCTATCTGGGTCTTTTTCAATCCTACATCGTTCTGATTTATTTATATCAAGGAAGTTCTTATTAATTCCATTTCCGACCATTCATTTTTTTTCGGCATTGCTAAGTCTCCAAAATAGTAAACACAGCTGTGAACATAGGAGATCTTTATTGCTTGGGAGGGTACTCAGATTGTTAAACTGAACTAATTTCCAGGTTATTAGGTTTTATTAACTGAGTTGATAATGTAAATTGGCCAACGTAAAGAGTTCCTAAAGCTGACGTTTCGAGTTGTAGCTCTTTGTCAGAGCGAAAAAGAGAATTGTGGGTTGTGTGTGTTTTATATGAAGAAAATGGAGCTAATTCCTATTTTTCTCTTTCGAATATATTTATAAAAAAAAATCCTTCCCCAAAAAAAAAAACTTAATGCATTGTTTTCCATGAGATCACGCTTTTTTCACATAGCCCGTAATAGTTCTTGGTTCTAATTCCTCCGCGCGGTTCAGACAAACATCTCTCCTGTGCCATGTGCTTTTGCGTGTAATGTCATCTGTTGTAACAACTGAAGATGACTTCTAAGCCCTAAACGGCGCAACATAAATGCAATAAGGTCCAAATAGTAGCAAGTTAAACTGCTTATATTTAAGACGTACTTCACTTACAGATGAAACTAACCGCAATACTTTTCTATTCTCTAGTCACCCTTTTTGAGGAAGAATTAGCTGAGGATGGATCATCAAACGCATCGGCTTTCAAAGAGATAAACATCTGTTCGTAACGATTCGTAATGAAACATAACGTGACGTGTAGTTAATAAACGATACAATTGTAAGTTAAAACTAGCTGCAGCCTGATGCAAAATAAAAAAAAATTAAAAATAAAAAAAGCATCTCAACCAATTCAATGACTGAATGAATCGAAGCAAAAAATAGGGTTTGAAAAACCTTTTTGGGCATTTATGACGTTAGAATGTGTTTTGAACTAATCAATATTTGTTTCTTGCGTTACCTTGAGGGAGAGGGGGGTGGGGGGAGTTTGACAAAAGGCAAGAGTAGTTCCTAAACTCTCCCGTCTTTCTCTGACTTTGGGGGTCGAACGAGGAAAAACCTTTTTAACGAGCTCAGGGACGGGGTGGAAAGTTGAACTGCCATAATAGTGATGTAGAGAGAGGTAGCAACGGCTTATTCAGATATTACTGGAACTAGTAGTTTTACCGTGAAAAAAGTACGATATATCGAAAAAGGGATCGAGAAAATGGTGAATTTTCAGCGCGCTCCGGGCCATGTCAGAGATCTGATGTCACAATAGGGGCGAAAGAACGGACTTAAGTGCGAATTTACTCTCGTTGGCATAAAATGTAGACAGCCGTGGTGATGAAAATGAGCGAAGATTTCTCGAAATTTAATGTAGGAGAGAGTAAAATTATTTGCGGGAGAAGGGGCATTTATTTATGTAATGGTGACAAAGGAAAGCAAAAAGCTACAAAATTTTCGTCTAAATGAAAAGGATCAAGCAGGAACCAGTTGCTGACTACAGACGGCTTTTCGCTCTAATAACGGCAAACTTCTACCTGAATTTTTTATCATGGTTTAATATTATGTTGAAAATTTCAACGAGACTCTGAAGTTTTTATTTTAATTTGCTTTGATTTCCAAAGACTCTGAAGTTTTAATTATTTTCAAGATTGTGAGAGGGTAAGATAATCATTCCTGCGTGTCAATCTTGCCCTAAGAAGGATATTGGTGATTGCAGTGAAACCGGCTAGAGTTTCTTCTCCTACATAAAGAGAGATCTCGTCTTAGTCAACTAAGGGTGCGATTTGAGATTGTCAGACAAAACACAACAATTTTTCTCTAACAGCGGCGGTTTCATCATCCTGAATATAATGTTTTACGAAGGATCGGAGGTCCATTTTGAGCGGTCCTCTTTTCGACCGAAATTTTAAATAAGCGCCTGGGTGCTTGGTCGAAGAAATACTGTAAGAGCTTAACATCATTTTCTTGGCTCGCTGCAGGTTGTTTGGTGCGTATTGCTACTGAATGTATTATACTCAATAACAACCGCGACAGTTTAATAGTGCTAATGAATAACGAACAAAAATTTGAACTCACGACGTCAGTTAAAACGAGATTTCTCTTAGATTTTTTTATTAATTTATTTGTTTATCTTTTTACCTGATAGACTCTTTAGCAAATTTTGGGTAGCAAAGGTACCGTTTTACCTAAATTGAACTCCGTAACGAGCAACTCTGAACTCCCCTGGAGCTTGCAGTTCTATGAAATGCAGCGCCAGCGGCAGGACAGGATGCAAATGACTCACACTTTGTTTTACGACCATGATGCAACACGATCAGAGTGCGCACACCGCCTGCGCCCGCGGGAAAAACAAACCGAATCCCGTGTTCTGATTGGCTACCCAACCAGACAAGATAACCGCTCGCCCACTTTGATCGTGCTTAAAAAATTTACGAGGAGCGGCCTCACATAGTCCGTAATTCTTTGACAATGTCAGTGATGAAGTAAAAAACAGTAGTAGTCAAAATAAAGTAAACATACACGACTCTCGAGGGTTTATTGTGCTACAAACACAGTTAGCTTTCTTTCCAGGCTCTTGAAATAAACAAATAATTTTTGATTCAAAAAGGAACTCAGCCAATATCCAGCCATCTTGACCTCACGCTTGGTCATTAACGCGTATTTGTTGATTTCAGCTCTACAACGCAGTAGAAAACCATTAGCCCTATTTTGGCAGTTTCGCGCCGAGCACTGGCACAGTTGCACATGATTGCACTACCGTACCTAAAAAAGCTCAAATAACTTCCGGTAAAAAAATTAATTATGGGCTATTATTGTAACTCTCAGACTCTACAAATGTTTATCTCCTCAGGGAGTTTGCTCCTCATATAGTTTTACTTCGATATTTTATTGGTGTTGGTTTTTCGTCGAAATTTCTTTTAATTAAACTCCGACGGGCTGCGTAAGTAAGTCTCACTTTCTAGATGGTTCATGCCTGAGAGACATGTATTGGCTGAAGCATCATTTCTTTGATGTGTTGAGGTATTTGCAGAACTGAATTAATGCCCTTTGGCAAAGATGACCTCTTAAGGACAGACCATGATCAGGTGATCAATGGGTGGTATTGGTACATCACGAGCAGGAATTTCCAACTGAGACAATGATCTCTCGTGCTTAAAAATAACAAATGGGATATTTGTTTGAGGAATTATTCCGAGAAGCTTGCTTTCCGGAATATGGCTATGCCTCCTTTTACCAGTAGGACTTTCTTTGTCACATCAGCAGCCGTTGGTAAAGAGAGGATGGTTTCCTTCCTTCTCGTTCCTTCCAACCTTTCTTAGCAACTACAGCAAAACCAATCAGCTTTCTTAAGCCTTTAACCCTTAAGAGTAACTAGCATCTAATTTCTCCTTACAATATCACCACTGAATCACACATTAATGTCTTGAGAATAAAGGAAATGATCACCAACTCAAGAAACTCTTGATTGTTAGACAAATTCTCCTTGTCAGCACCTTAGTTAATGTACAGAGAACAGTATGGAGAATATCAATACTGATGTTAGGGTGCAAAGGGTTAATATAGATGACTACTAGTTAAATAGCAAGATACATGAAGCAACATGTTATGCCCTCATGTGCTTCAACCCATAGAATATCGTTTACCATCGATGGTTATTTTAAACTTCTGACATCTAGAGCTAACCCCAGACAATTATTCTTTAAAAGAAGAGTATATAATTACTTATTTATGACATTTAAATAACAATGAATTTAAATTAATACAGTAGAACCCTGCTTACTTGATCTTGGTGAAATCAAACCCAGTGGTATAAACTTGAACAAGACCCAGTTTCCCTTGATGCCATATTTTCAGTCATTTACTATCAGCAAACTCAAACCCCCTCTAACTTGAAGCATTTTTTGTTTCCCTTAGGAGGTCAAGTTAGCAGGGTTCTACTGTGTCAAGAGAAAATGGGAAACAAGGGAAGGGGAGCTAGGGTAAATTTTTGTAGTCCCCTGTCAAGCACCCTTCTTCCTCAATTAAACCCATTCTTGTAAATCTTCCCACATGCACGGTAGTTTCCTTTTTCATGTTCCAATTCCTCTTTTTCTATCACATTTGCTATTTATGGTAAAAGCAAAACCTCACCATGCTTTGTAAAAAGGACTCTTAAAAGTTCCCTTACTCTGTTCTCTCAATTACAAAACTAACAACACTTTAAGAAAATTAAAATAGATATAAAAAAAAGCCTAACTGGAAAAATATTCAATATTACTGCCACTGGTTACAAAAAATTTTAAGTATCCTAAAATAAATAGCCAATTCACTGCATCATCCACCTTTCAACTTCACACAATTAATGTACCCAAAAATTTCAGTTAAGACTGGAATTTCACCAGTGTGAATGTTTTTTGTTGTTTTTTTTTTGAGATTTCAAAAAGGAAAATGCTGTTTGTTCAAGAATTTCTGACCCACCATTCAGGACTTAAAAGAATCCATCAAATCAAGACCTTACATTCATTGCTGTTTTGTCTGAAAAATAAATCTCAGCTGCCACATGTCACTGATCGAAAATGGAATGCCCACCAATAATGAAATCTCAGATAAATGTCAGTAACCAAGCATCTTCTGCAGACCTTCCCTTCCCCTAAACTAACATTAACACTATAACTTGTTTTTTTGAATTGACTGTTGTGGAGGGGGGGGCAGGTGTGCGGTTGCTTGGTTACAGACATTGATCTCAAAGCTCCACACCCTGACTCTCTTCTGTTTTTTGCATTTGAACCCTGAACCTAAATTGAAATTACCATCAAGTTTATATGGTGAAGGGTTTCCAACACCACTCCTCTCAAATCTAACTGATTGGTGAGATTAAAAGCTGTACAATGTACTCAGCTCTGCATAATTGAAAGTTGGTTTTGCAACATACAGCCTCACAAATGCAACTAAATACATGTAAAATTGATGCTAGTTGTCAACATAAAATCCTACAACATTTTTTTGCTTTTTGTTATTCTTGATTCTTGAACAAGCCATAGGTCTGATCAACACTAGGAAATTGTTTCACCTTTCTAGCCTAATGTCACATCTAAGTGTATGCCTAAGTTTACCTTTAGTCTAATCAGTGACTAGATACCTTAAAAGAAAATAGAAATGCATAAAGTTATCGTTCGAACTTTATGATGTGCTCAGTGCTGTTCTCAACTCCAATCTCTTTGCAATCACATAGCAGAGCCAGGAAGCAAGTGAAACATCTGCCAAATGCACTAGCAAGGCCAACTCCCCTGCTGTAATCAACTTTGCTCAAATGTGATGGCATCGATATCAGTCAACACTTCTGAAGACAACTGGGCAAAATTACTTGAACAACTTTCTTCACATCCTCAACGAATTCACATGGTGCCCAGTGCCCCTCAGACTAAGACTGATTCCCCCACACACACACAAATTTAGCAAATGAATGTAATCACTTGGCAGGCCAATCTGTTTTGGTCGCTAACCAAGAACTATGATGGATACATGATTTTTGTCAGTCTTTAGCAAATGGAAAACCAGGAGGCTTTGTTGGACGGGGTCGTACCCCTTCAAAAGCATCATGTGCTTGGTGAGCTGAAACAAATAAGTTTGCAAATTAATTTTATATCAAATGTTAAGTGGGAGACAGGAGCACAAAGAGTGGGGGAGG